ATGAAGACACGTATGCAATCTGAAGGCTTCAGACTGGCGTAAATGGGACAACACATTAAGAATGTTTTATCACTTAGTGCAGTGAGTCATTTTGTATTTAATGTGTTGCATGTACTGTCACCAACACAGGATTACAGGAACCAACATACAGTATATGTGTAAATATTTAACATCTCTGTAAAATTATATTTCAGTGTTGGTTGACTCAAAATTGCTTTACTGCTTTACACACATCATTCATCCTAAGTATAAAATGATCCAACATATAATCAAACACTGTTACTGTTGGTTTTGCATAAACAGCCAACAACCAGCTGACACAGGGCCCTGTAGAAGACGCTGGCTCTCCTGTTGTTTCTGTTTGGGATGCATTCTATGGTCCGTCTCCACATGAAGTGGTGGGGGGTGGGTGATCTCGCCAGGCCCTGCTTGTCTTAAATTGAATACAATCAGCGATGTGATCCCGCTGCCAACCCTGACCCTGACGGCTCTAATGCGTTCTTAAGGCCTTGGCATAGACCGGCTCCAGGAAATGAAAGGGGAGCAGCATGAAGAACATCACCAGAAAGACCACGCTCACCACTGCCAGCAGCACGTAGCGGCCGATGAACAAGGTGTCCACTATCTGTAGAGTGAAGAAAGAGATGATCACCTCAGTATTTTTAGTTTATCCTCACTACACATGAGTGCAGATGAAGTAAACACTATCTATTTCACTGGAAACACGTCTGTTAATAAATTCAGCATTTCCACGATGAGCCACAAGATGTCATAAGAGAGCTTTTATAAAGCCATTGTGTATAAACAGTGGGTTAATGTGAGGCATTGAACAAACACTCAATACACAGACAGACAGACAGACACACACACAAAGAAAACACTTTACTTGTGTTTTGCTTCCTGCCGCTTCAGTTGGATGTTTGAGCTTCACTTTGCAGAATGATGTCATGTGAGAGTTTCAGCATAAAACGCTGAGTTCCCATGAACAAAAACACTATTCACATCATCTGCTGAGAGGGAAAGTTTCCCCTCATTAACACAAATTTAGATTTAACGCAACTGCATCAACTATGGTTGTGTGATTTGCACTTTTCGGTGAAGTAGAGGACCACTCAAGTTTATGTGTCGATTATGGGTTTTTCTATAAGGGAGAGTAGATGTCATTTCAGAATTTTTTAAAACTTGTCGTGTCTTAAACCATTAGTGAAGAGAATCTGAATTAAAACAATAACTAATTGAATTAATACCTAATCAGTCTACAGTTGACCAAGGCATAATATCTGTTCCTCAACACTGATGTCTGATGGACAACTTTGCTTAAGGTTCCTCTTTAGCTGGCTAGCTTTCTGAGAGAAGAGCATGTGCACATGTAGGCACAGCTAGATTTATTTGCGATCACCTGGAAATGATAAATTACCAAATGCTGTGCTGCATTCATCGGACCTGCAGTTTGGAACATTTCATTTGCCCTAAAAGCCTCAGAACCAAACCCAAACCTTCAACAATCATTTTGTAATTTTATGGGTTCTACCAGGCAGAAAAATATACATATTCACAGTGACTTCATCAGTAAGTACCCTCCCAAATATTTATATATATATATAAAAGAGTTTAATATTTACAACTAGTTTACCATTTGACTGAAACTTATGTTTACACTAGAGTAGATCAGGATCTTGTGCGAATGACATATTTAACAGATTGCCTATCAACCAAATCCATATCCAAATAGTGTCTTTAATCTGTTGCTAATGCTATAACCATTGAATTTGTTATTTGATTCCCAAAAGTCTATTAATGAAGTTGGAGTATGAACACCACCACTTAAAGTTAAGAGGTAATGGTGAAGAGCCTCTTGTTATCTTACACAGAAAAATGAACCCAGCTAACTTAATGAGAGAGAAGAATTAACACTGGCATTTGCTACTTGGTGCCGACCAATAATCGGAGTTTAATTCTTAATTAGTAATAAGTTATTAGAAGCAGTATGATGAAAGAAGGGTGGAGTTGGTGCATCCTTAAAGGGATAGTTCACCCAGAAATGAAAATTAACTCATTATCTCCTCACAACTATGGAGGGGTGGGTGAAGCATTTCAGGGGGAAACAGTGTTGCAGCCAAATCCAATCCAATATAAGTAAATGGTAACCAACAGAAATAAACTAAATGCCTACATACTTTCCTGCCGTGTCATCCAAGTCCAAGCCCCAACATTCATATTCCACTTAATTCTTTTAGCCTAAATGTTAACTGTGATCCACACATGAACGTGGTCCAGAGGAGGATATCAGAGGATTCAGTTTTTTCTGTAGTTTTTACTTCAATTGTATTGGATTTGGCTGCCATGCTGTTTACCCCTGAAATTCCTAAAGTGTTTTGTGGACTCAAATACTTCGCCAACCCTTCCATCTGCATAGTGGTGAGTAGTCAATGAGTGAATTTTTATTTAAGGGTGAACTATCCCTTTAAGTCAGTACTGCCATTCAATCATGGCTACAAGCTACAACATGAAGCCAAGTGTTTATTGATTTGTGTTTGACTATTTTCAGTGATTAACTTAATGTACAACAATGTATTTGAAGATATGGCACGTTTGTTATTTCGCTGTTATCTCATTAGTGCAGAAACTCAATTCTGATTCCAGCTTCTCTTTATTTTCGGATGCTGCAGTTGTTTATCTAGAAGCCTGATCAGTGTGGGTACTGCACTGCAGCTCACCTGAGTTTTACATAAATTAACAGATCTAAAGGAAACGAGGCGCAGGACTCTGAAAGACAACAGCTCCTCTACGTTGGCACTGTCGTCCCTTAGGTTAGCAGAACTGTGGGGTTTATGATGTTTCCACTGATAGGTTTAAGCAACACTTCACTGATAGCTGTTGGTCTGTGTTAATATTTAGATCATGAGCCACCCATGAATTTGTGAAGACAAACTGAGAAAAAGCCCTTAAGCCAGATAACACGAGAAGAGCCGCAGCCCAACTGCCGACAGAGAGATTTCACAGGGACTGTTGTGGAATGGGAGTGTGTGTGTGTGTGTGTGTGTGTGTGTGTGTGTGTGTGTGTGTGTGGGTGTGAGTGTGTATATAAATCCACTGGTGTGAGGTGGGGATGATGTATGCCGTCTCTTATGGATGCATTTAACAGATCTCACTTTTTAATTTGCCAATTACGCAGTATGCAGGAACCCAAAGTGAGGGCCATGTTTTATTAATGTGCCATTGAGCACACGGGTGGGAGCAGGCAGGCAGGCGGGGGGCGGAGGAGTGGAAGAGGGGGTGTGGGGTGGGTGGTCTGGTACAAACCACCCCCACTCCGAGTCTGGGACTAGCTTAATTGGCTCTATGATATTTTACTTCTGTTTAACAGCAAGAGGTTAGACATTGCTTCAGTTTGCACACACACACACACACACACACACACACACACACACACACACACACACACAGACACACAGACACACACCACTTGCAAGCAGGTTTTCTGTTTGCTCACAAAAAGAATTAGTCGACACCGATACATGCTATGAATACAAAATGTCATTGAGTGTCCTCAGTGAAGCAGCTTTTCCACATTCACATGCACCTTTGTTTAAACACTGTTTATAACCATACAGATGAAGATTTATATGGTATTTTCAGTTTTTCTAGTCCTGCATGAAATCGTCTATTGTAACTGATTTACTTCAGTGTAACATATCAAAGATGAGTCACAGGGGAGGCCTCACATCATCTGGTTTACAGATTAAAGAAGCTCCAGGCCTCTGGCTGCCTCTGGCCGGTCATTCATCCCACAGTCAACTGACTTGCTCAGTTTCCTCCGACTGTATTTTACCACGTGGATGATTCATAATGTCAGCATTGTTCTGAAGTTGTGTGCGTAAACAGTTTTTGTCGTTTAACTGAATTCCTGGATCAGCCAAAGATCGTTCTCCACTTTTGTGCACAGTCAAAAGTTAAAATTCTATTCAGCTATTACCTGTTATTATTATATGTTAAATGCATGTATAAATCCTTAACCACTGCGCAAAGGGTTCTTATAACTATTACATTCTACAAAGATATGGGCCACTCCCTAAATTAAAAAAGCAATAGGCCTGTTGACATTTAGTAAAGGTTGAAAATCTTTTTTTCCTTGCATCACTTCAAGGAATTTTATATGCAACCTCTTTCAAACATTGGAATCAATCTCTGGAGAAGGAAAAGGGTTCATTTTACTTGTAAGCCTTGTACAGAAATCCAAGAAGTCACATTTTGCTGCCTCTCTCTGTTGCTGGTCTGGTATCTGCCTTTGCACAAAGGCTATAAAACATGAGCTGGCCAGGACAGGGCTCGGCTCTGCTATTTCTATGGGGTGGCAGCTTGCTTGGCAGATCTGGCTGGCTTATTGGCACGACCCCGAGGCAACATGGGGGAGTGTTTGTTCTGTGTTGCTGTTGGACTAAGATAAAGCAGAGCAGGCCTTTCTGACGAGCACATGCACAAGTGCACACACGATGATACGTGCGATGTATGGGCATACAGTAAGGGTGATGCTGGTTTATATCAGAGTTAAGGTTGTGTTAAGGAAAGGTTGTTTATGTGCACTTAACTTAAACTTAGAACAGAACATAAGACTCTAAATAACTCTGCTCCTAGACACACACACACGCACACACACACACACACACACACACACCCACCCCTTTTAAACGATATATCAGTGATAAAGATCCACGTTTCTTCTATTGTATCATTGATAAGCATGAAGACAGTGATTTTATTGCTATTCTTTAATTTGTCATATGTGTTTCAAGTTTTTGGAACACAAAAAATGAGCAACAAATACCCATTCAGCGTTTATTCATGTGCTTTGCAACCTTGTTTTTCACTCAGTGGCCTCTGTACCCAAAACATTTGGTGTTAATCAAAGTCAAATGTCCTCCAAACAAGATTCAAAACATCCCAGACCTGTTTTTATTTCCAACTGAAGCACGTAATGAAGTCAACGTGCATCAGCCACAATAACAGATGAAAAAACCCCACAAGCCTTTATGTGTGTTTTTAATGTTGTAAATGGTGTCATGATGGAATATGTCATTATTGCAGCCCTGGCAGCAGTATACATTTAAAAAGATGCTTCATGTAATAAAATGTCATTTCATTGTGTTTACACCTTTTGAACCAAGTCGTTCTCTTTTCCATAACTGTCCACTGCAGCTATTTGCATTTTAATCTAGTACAACATACTCATTCATACAGTAGGCAGGAAAAGAGACACGATTTAATGTGCCGACAATGTCAACTCATAGCATATCAACATGAATAAACCCACACATTAGTCGGGAGCCTTTGAATTTGCGAGTGTGTGTGAGATTAGTGAGGAGAGTTCACCTCGACTTCTTTGAAAGGGGGAGGTGTCTCAGGGCTGCGAGGGAAAAACACCAGAGCCAGAGTGATGGTGAGAGCCAGGAGAAAAACAGGGATCACTCCTAACCTGGCAGGACGAAACACACACACACACACACACACACAAAGTTGTAACTTACTGACCAAGCACTAAGTTTCCGCCCATTTAAACTTGACTGTAACTGCATCTAACAGAGGTGCACAGTGTTCGCTGTCGCTTTGCAATCCACCCAAACAACATTGACCTTTGGAGTATGAGGCTCTGATATGAAAAAATAGTATTAATATGCAGGGACTTGGTATATGGTCCCAGAAATCAATTCCTATATTATATTATTATAATAATAATTTAAGTAAAATAAATTACTTTGCTGGTCTCACATAGGTTTAGGTGCCAAGTAATGACATGAGAGTTGCAATCTTTCTGTGTGAGGTTTTCAGTTGTTGTGTTGTGTTCAAACAATGGTTTACACAATCTTTCATGCATTTGCCTCCAGTCTTTGGTTTGAGACTTTATTCCATAGTTCCTTGAGATTCATGCATATTTTCCTACCTCAAATACTGTATGCGACCCAGTTAATGATTGTTATTGTAATAAAAGCCTACCCTTTAAACCTGAACGTGCCGAATTTACCAGAAAAGCTTCCTGCGGCCGCAGTTGAAGTGTTTCGTGTTCCAGCAGCTGCGTATTAAGGCTGAAAAGCAAACCAACATTAATCTGGAGGAAATGTTAACGGGACGTGGCATTGACCGATGAGATGGACCACAGCTGGGATTCTTCACTAACTTCTGTACATGTATTCAGATGTGATGTGTGTGTGTGTGTGTGTGTGTGTGTGTGTGTGTGTGTGTGTGTCCTCTCACTCACTTGGCTGATCCGGATGCTCTCAGCAGCATCATCCCAATCACAAGAGCCGCGATCCAAACCAACGCGACGACGAAAACTCCCGTCCCGACCTCCAGCACGGAACTCATGTTGTTTTATCAGCAGGTTCGGTTACAGGCTGGTTTATCTGCTGATCTCACATTACCGACATAAACAAAGCAGCCCTGTAGTAAACGATCCATTTCATCACAGAGACTTCGGTTGGTAAATCAAGCTTCTCCCAGCGCGTCTCCTGCTTCCTGGTAACAGCAAGCAGGAGTGTGATTGGGTGAAGGAACTCGGGAAGAGCCAATCAAACGCGGCGTTGCTAAAAGAGCGTGGGGCGCAAGGGGACCATGCAGCCAATCCAGAGCATCACTTCCACTTGTGTTTCCCCTGTTGAAGTCTTCAAACCACCGCGGTGTGTTTCTGACACCGTGTCCCGAGGAGCGGGTGTTGTTCCCCGTCCCTCCCTGCAGCTTATCGGGCCACTGCTTGCACTACAATTTTGAAAAATGTCAACTGAACTTAATTCTTAACATGTCTTTTATCCCACATCTACGGTGGGAGAGAGCTCAACACACTGCAAATTAAGAAAACACATGCAAATAGAAAGAAAACGTGTCTCCCAACTGGAGGAGCTTGGCCCTTAATCATGTAAACAGTTATTGACATTTGTACTTTTTGTTTATTTGCACTAGTGTATTGGTATTTGTATTTTTAGTCACTCTTATTTTATTATTTTTCTGACACTATTACATGTTGAGTTGCTTGAGGCGCCTGGGATTTAAGATTTTCATTGCCAGCATGTACGCTATGTATCTGTTGTGCAGATGACAAATAAAACCTTTGAAACCTTTGGGTACACTGCTGCTTACACATTGATCCATTATTAGATATCAGTCTAATAAAATGAGATTTTTCAATATATTTTAATTACTTTTGCTTCTGCTATATATTGCTGAGGATGGATCTTATTATCCAATGCTTACTTTTATTTAGGCTGAGCATAAGAAACTGAAACTCACCCTGACCACATCTCCCTCCATCAGTGCTGCTTTATGTGTATATGTGAACAAGTGGGTTTTGTTGAAGGCACACTCAGTTTTTCTAACCTGGAAATATCAGGTTGAAGTTGGACTTTTCCAGCCTCATCAGAATCTCCACTCACTGCATCATCCCAGCAATCTTTTCGAAGCATGCAAGTACTAATGCGCACCGACAGGGGGCTGGCCAGATCCGCGTGTGTGCGCCGCGGCCCTACTGGAAGTGGGGGGGTCTCAGTGAGTTTACTGGAAGAAGACATGTTGCCTTTAAGTGATCCTCGTAAGATTCACGAATCCAGCGGTTATGGTTGTGATATAGTGTAAATTGCTGCTTTGCTTGATTAAAAAGACCAGACGACAGAGGATGGTCATATTCAGATGGATGGATGCTGAGAGTGAAGAGAAACACAGGACAAATGCACAGCCAGCTTTGCAGAGTTTGGTGCTGCCACTGTCTCAAAAATGTCAACCAGATTAAAGGGAGTGACAGAGATGGTCTGTGATAAAAGGGGTTTGAGTGGCAACTTGACCTGACCTCACTGAAGCGCTTTGGAAGCAAATAATTAGATTATATAATCAATCAATCTATCAATCAAATTTTACTTGCATAGCCTATATTCACAAATTACACTGTGCCTCATAAGGCTCTGTGACATCATCTGCCCTTAAGTGCAAAATGACCAAAATAAACTATTTCAACATGTGAGTTATTTTCCATATAGGCTTCCATACTCGTGTTTCCTGCAGCATTTGCTTTGCTCGGGTGATTGCACTGAATTCAGTGATGTTAAATATAGTCCAGAATGACTAAGAGGCTCTTTGCCTGCATGGCTGGCTACAAGGTATTTTGCTGGAGTTCTGGCGACAAACAATACAAAACGTGGAAGTTGTCATTGAAGGTTGTGCCCAGCTCTTTTCCCATCAGAGATCTTTTGCTGCTTCACGGTCACAAAAATAGATGAAAATGGATTCATCAAACAACATAATGAGGTGTTTGTGTTGTTGTTGTCCTCTTTTGTCCATCTGTCTTCAAGCTAAATAAGAACACATTACTTGTGCATTTACACTTTTGGTTCTCAACCCTTACAAATCTTACAAACTCCTCGGGAACACGCAGACAGATCCGTTCCCTGTTTTGTCCGCATCACCTCCAAGTCGTTGCAGTGCACCAACAGGATTCGCCATCGATCCTGGGCACGACGCGTGAAGTCTCCTCTTCGCCCGCGGTTGACGCGCTCCCCGTCTCTTTACGCAGGCCCACGCGTGATTGCCGTATTTCCCACGGACACTGGAAGGCATCAGCGGGCCGGCGCTGGGAAAACGGGGGGTGAGAGCGGAGATGGAGGTGGGAGGGGCCTGGCGCGGGTGACGTCAGCGGCTGTGTGGAGGAGTATAGGCTGTGCTGTCAGCCCAGTGTCAGTCTGATGAAGATTGGCATGCAGGTAAGCTGTCATTCATTTTCAATGTCAGTGCATGGGAGCAGGGCTCTTCCACTTCAGCCTCCCCCCCTTTTCCCCCTTTTCTCCCCCCTCTCCCTCCCTCCCTCCCTCCCTCACTTCATTACAAAAAGCAGGACATTATTCATACAGTCAGACAGCCGGGCCAGTGAGAGAGAGAGAGAGAGAGGGAGAGAGAGAGAGAAAGAGAGAGAGAGAGGGAGTGAGGGAGGGAGGGAAGGGGAAGTATAGAGGAGGGGGAGAAAAAAAGAGAGAGGAAAAAGCGAGGAGATGCATTTTTGTGCTGGACTGAAAGACCAGTGGATTTTTTTTTTTTTTTTTCTGTTTCGTTTTAATTCTTGATGCGGAGGTTTTTGGGATTTTCACAATAACGTGTCGGTGATGTTTGTGATGCGCGTGTCTGCGGGAGGTGTTGTGTTCGGCGGCGGATGCTTTGGCGCAGAAGCTCGTAATTGTAGCGATAACAATAATAGAGAGGGACCGGGCAGAAGGAGGCAGCTTTGCTCCTGCGGCTGTGACACTCGGCGGCGGAATAACACATGATTTATATATGAACGACGAGTGCGTGATGCGCGGGTCTCTCCCGCGTTGTGCTGCCTCTTCACCGCCGCTGCGTGTTTTCCTCGTGTTCAACTTAACCTGGTGTGTTTTTATCCAGAAGGCTTTGATCGCGATTGCTGAGTGTTTGTCGGCCTACATTAAAATATATATGTTCAGTGGAAAATAACTTCCGCTCAAGTTCATTCGAGTCAATTCAGCATTTTTATGTTTTCCATAATTTGGTCAATTTATTCTAGATTGTAGCGTCTGTGTGTGTGTGTGTGTGTGTGTGTGTGTGTGTGTGTGTGTGACTAAATAAAAAATAACATAATTTTATAAATGTCAAACTGAAAAGGAAGAAAATAGCAAATAGTTGGAAAGGTAGTTTTGTTTAAATGTTATTTCAAATCCTTGCACTTAATGACCAGCAGTTTTTTCCCCCAAAGTGAAACAACATTGTACAAAACGATAATGGCTGCATTTATTCCAGAGAGATGTAAAGCAAAAAAATCTGAGCGTTTTTAAAGGTCAGACAGGTAGTTTCAAGCTGTCTGCAGCTCTGTATGAATCCCACTCGTCTTTAATTTGGAGCGTGTCTCAGTAAAGCTACCTGCATCTCACCGAGGTCTGATGTTTACTCTCAGCCGCCCCTGCCCTGCAAAAGCCTCTCCACACCAAACACTGGCCTTCTTTGTGTGACGCTCGCCGCTGTCTTTTTCAGCTGAGCGGGTTTATTCCACAAATGACTGTTAAACTCAGAGGAGACTTTACAGTGGCACGTCAGGTAGCTTGTCTCAGGTAGCTAGTTAGAAAAGCACAGATTTGCAGGTCCTCTGCTGCATTTTGGTTTGTGTTGTATGATATTTATACACATGAAGATCAAATATCAAATGACTGTGCGAACACATGCCCCTATCTGGCAAACACAGCAAAAAAGTTGACGCTCAGGTTACTTTTCTATCACAGATTCGTTGTCATCTGACAACAGTAAAATGTTTCAACTATATACTACAAAGTCAGGGCCCCTGACTGCAAAGACCGAGCAGTGGGATTACATTAGCCTAATTAAATATGCCTGAACCATTTGTTTACTAATCATCTGCTTCCCTGAGAAATCACAATGGCGATTTAGACCACTTTAGCTCCTTCAGTCACACGCACGAGGCAGGTGCAGAGTGCTGAGCATGAAATCCCACGAGGAGCCAAAACTCGCACCCCCTGTGAAAGTAAATGCTTTGAAAGACGCTGTTGTTGTTGCAGCGAGTCGCTGTTGGAGGACCTCAAAGAAGCACTGTTACCTTTTACACCATTTAAATTACTGGGTACCTTTGTCATTGTCTCAAAGTGGGTGATTCTGCTGGGAATACATTTTTGCGACACGCACACACACACACACACACTCGAACACGTGAGCTGAAACGCATCACCACCAGTCACCCTCAGTGATGTTTGTTCTTTGTTGTCATGTACCCCACATGGCTCTCCATATTGTCTTGATAAGGATAATGCCAATTTAGTTTATCCGCAAACCCTGCTGAGATCTTAATTGATGATTTGTGTCATTGGACAAGCAGCCCAGGGGCATATTTGCTGCTGCAAAATACTCTGACACTATTTGCATATTCCCATTCCTACTACATGGGTAAATTACACGATGAGGTGTGATGCTGTGCATTCCTGCAGCTTTTGAGGGGATAATCACTAATAAAGTGTTTCAGTCACACTAAATGAAGGAAGTAAACAGAGCGAGGAGAGCATATGTTACAAACCAATTTAAGCATTTATGTATGACCATAAAGCAATTCAGGAAATTAAACCACGCGCAAATGTCTTGTCATTTCCTTCGCCTTTTCCACTATTTCCACTCTGCATGTTGTCGCAGACAGCCGTACGTCATTTTTGAGAAGAGGCATGTTTTTTTAGTCTTGAAAGACTAGGTCTTACTTTGTGAGATGAGATTTTGAGGTGTCTGGTTGTTTTTGAGGGCCTCGTTTTCTTAAACCGGGCTGAGAAAAGGGAGAGGATGTCGAGAATTATTCATAAGGCTTAAATCTTTTGGGAATCCTTGGGCCTGTGAACAGAGTTGACACGGCCACTTTTCTCCTGTTCAATAGTGCAGCAATCCTAAGACAATTGTGTTGTGTTGCATGTTTTGTGCCTGTCTGGGTCCTCATAGGTCATGCCCACTAAGCCCGCTTGATCCCCATTGCTCTCAAGACGAGGCAGAGGCCTGTTTATACCGTCAGAGAGCGCAGCTTAAGCGCAGCCCTTGCATGCTTACCCTTGCTCATTCCACAGCCAGTGCTGCATTGGCACCGCTCTAAGTAAGCCACCAGGGAGCTGGGTCAGAGAGAGATGGATTGGCTTGATTTATGTTCCAAGAGGAGCAGCAGGCAAATTTAATGATCCCCTATACTGTCAACATCACGGAGGTTTGTTTCTGGAAGGACATAGAGATGTCATGAAAATGCATGCTGCATAGGGCTGTGGTATGGTTAAGTTTGAAAACTGCAGTCAGTCAGTGTTATTGCTCAAACATCAATTGGAGACTTTTGTTTGAAACTTATAAAGAGCATTTTGGGAATATTAATCTAACAGTAAGATGGTTTCATCCTCACATTCTTCAGAAAATAACTGTTGTATTGCCTCAGCCCAGAGATCCCTCCGATGTTCACACATTCACAGTTTACAGAAGACATTTGTGCAGGTGACGTTATTATTGATATGCACGACAATTTAAGTTCCTAATGAGCACGTGTTACGTTCAAAATACTCGTATTTTGGGTCAAATCACATTTTGTGCTGCTTCACTGTGTGACTGCAGCCCCAATATGTCTGCTCACAGAACATCCTCTGTACAAAAAGTCCATATTACTCCTCTGAAGGAGTCTGAGTGATTGATTAGACTCAGCACGTCTGAGGCCGTGTGCAGACCTGCCCTGCACACAGCCCTCAAACAAACTTTTGCAAATGCTCCTCTCCGCACAATTATACGAGATGTGCGGCTGAACAATGAATGTCGCAGCATGGAGGAAGTCGTACAAAGGCTTTAGTCATTAGGTAATGATTTTAGCATCAGTACTCTGATTGCCTTCCTTTTTTCAGACAGAGGAAATGAAAACCCAGCGGGGACACATTCCATAAACGAAGTCGAAGTCATGGCACAGAATAGGGGAGTCAAATAAGGCTTCGGTGTTTCAGCTGCAGGACGCACACACAGATACAGTGTTTGCTGTGGCTGAAATTGATCTCAAAGATGTGTAAGAACTAGGCTACTTCCATTCTTTTATTTCTTCAGTATTCATGCCGTTAGTATAAATTTCTTTTGATTTTATTATTCTTGCACTAAAAGCAATTAAAACACATTATTTTTAGACGTCAGTGGTTGTTATTCAAGGATCAAGCACAAAATCAAATTAGCAGCTGCTTATTATATATTCTGCATTTACAGACCTTTAACAAGACTCCAAACCTCATTGTGCCTTTGGTTCTTATCTCTGGTGGAATGTAGATAATCCTAATAAATGAGTAGAGCTTCACACAGAGAAATATGAAGCCTGCCAGTAAATCCTGAATTTATTATATTTGAGAGTCCTGGTAACAGCTGAGCTGGGTGAGGTTCAAAATATTTGATTTGAATTCAGCAGCAGATCATAGCAGAGAAAATCCTACCAAGCACTGTGTGCAAGCATATTTGTGTGTCCTTTGAAAATGAATAAATGCATGGGCCAAACTGGTGTCACTACAATTGAGCATCTCCCACAGTGTAATACTCTTTAAAACTTATGTCATCACTGCTGCTTCTCCATGTTAATAGCCCCGACTCTATGCCATGCATTAATCTGTTGGCCATAAAGGTGACAGGGGCTTTCTCTTCCCACATACAAATGTGTGTTTGCAGCTTACAGCTTGACGCCTTCAGCAGAACTGCTGTTGTACTATTAGAGTGCTTTTCTTCTGCCTAAACTTCGGTCTTTCCGTATACTGCAGGTACAATACCAGCTGTTTTTCAGCACTGCAGTGCCGTTACCAGCAGGAAAGCTGTTGTTCCTCCTCTGTGAGTCAGAGTAACTCTTATTACAAAGTTGGAGACAAACACAGAGTTTTACCGCCAAGTGCACATCAACAGAGGCTATTTTTGTCAACACTAAGCTAACTCATATCAGCACTGTGAAGTGCTGTTGCATCCCTGATGACCCCCCGATGTTGTTGTTTTCACTCGGGTACATTTACAGCTGTAGTGATGCGGTGGTTCTCAAAGACGGGGTCAGGACCCACTGGAGGGGTTGCCAGATGATTCACAGAAATTCAATACAATTTAGAAATGATTAGTAATACTGTGATTAAGCCACAGTTGTTAGAAAAAGATTTAAACAGTTGATACATTGAAAAAAAAACATGCAAATAAAAATATTTCGACAGATTTTCTTGGTTTTTTGACCTCT